ATTCGAAGGGATCACATTAGATGTTCCCATCGAAGCGGACATATTAGTGCCTGCTGTATGTGGGGCATTTTGTTCCCCTTGTTGATTGTCAGAATTAGACATCTTGTTCAAACGTTTTCTTCTGGATAAGGGTTGGTTGCTATTGGTTATTCTACCACTTCTAAGGTTCATAAAACAACAAACTTATCACTCAGAGGATATTTTTACAATGGTTACGTCTCAACAATTTTTATTTTGTTCTAAATTCCGTAATGGCCAACGATTCGTCCCACTGGGCGTGCCAATTTGTTTACAGTGATTTCTGGTAAACAACCGCTAGTCCTCCAAACTATCGAATAATCTTACTGACTGTTATTCAATTTCTCTGGTAACTCGCAGGATCGACTAGATTGATCCTAGGATGTGTTGGTCATTAGGGTAACTCTCATGATCGAACTGGTATTCATGGTTGGTATTTAGAATGTTGTGTAGGTGTTTAACTTACTTCGATTGCTCTATTAAAGATCTAAAGGTGTGCTCAAGTAAATGTGCGCGAAACTAAATTGCATGAATAAAGTTAAATCGTAAAGACATGTAAAAACTGCATAAAAGACAAGTAAACGACTTCGAAGCATAAAAACATGTAATGTAAAAGATTCTCTGGAATGTAAAAGATTTGAAATATGAAGAAAGCGTTTAAATGCAAGAAAACTGTAAAATGACTTTAAGTAAAAAAGGTGTTCGAATAATAAAAACTTGAAGATAAAGACATGAAATGTACGACAGTTTCTGAAATGTAAAGTATTTTCAATGGAAAGAAAGCATTTAAATGTAAGGCATCAGTAAAAAGACTTCGAATGAAAACATTTTAAATGCAAAAGCTTGTGAATGGTATTGACATGAAGATAAAGGAAAGTACTGTAAATGATAAAGAGTTTTCATTAAATCATAAACATGTGGTGTTATCATACGTACATTGCTCGTGCATTCGTTTCCCTAGCCATGTGGTATTTTGAATGTTTACTGAGTTTTTTGTACAATAGATATGACACACGAAATCCTAATGCTAAGACTTCTATTTATACTACTTCGACCATAACGGTCTTGCTATAAGATTCTGCCACGTTCAAAACATGCAGAGCAATGCCTCTCTCTTGCTTCCACGCGTCTTCGAATGCTCCAGCGCATATATTTCAAATTTCGAACATCCCGCTTGCATTTGAATTTCAAATGTTTTGGCACTCCTTTGCTTCGAACACATTTCTTGGACACAGCATTGTTAGCATTTCGAGACTTCCTTGAATATATTCTCATAACTGTCACTCGAAGCTCCAAGTTTTGATATGCCCATTCGAAGAACTGCTTCTACCATTTCGAAACATGACATCCTGCTTTACTCCAATCGAAACGTCCAATTTGCTTCTAATAATATCATCAAAATCTTCAGCCAACACTAATATAAAGAACACCAAAAAAATCTCTTTTTATCAAAAATAGAAAAAAAGAAGTATTTTTAGGTTTAAATTCATTTGTAGATAACTTAATCATGTAATTATTATACTTTAATTAATTAGGTTAGAATAAACTTTCTATATAATCTATAGGGTATTTCCCCGACTAATTCATTTGTAAAAATCATTCTTAATCTTGTATATAAGTTCAAATATTTTTTTATTAAATTAACTCTAATGTTTTTATAAATAAAAAGATTCTACATCTTCGAATAATTAATTGGTTAGCTTAACGCTTTACTAATTGATTATTCAAATGAAACATATAAAAGTCACCAACAAATCAAATGAATTTCTTCGCCTCGCACGATATAATTCTAATAAGGATCAACTCCTTATAAAAATAATTTCTTCGTCCAGCGTGGTCTAATTCTAATGAAGATCAACTCTTCTTCAACAAATCCAAATCAAACTCAAAATAGCTAATCAATCAAATTCTTTTTCTCTTACTAACATAAATCAAAACTCAAGATATATTCAATAAAGAATCGTCTGGTTTCTTTCTACTTGGATATAAAAACTTCACCTACCATCATTCAATTTTCAAACCCAGACAAGTTCAAAACCATTCGAAAGCAACTTAAAACGAATCTATAAAAAACACTAACCTAACACCTTCGAACTACGAAGGACTCTGATTTCATCTTAAGAAGATACGTAGGCACACTATTGAAAAACCAAGGCGAGTCCACTAACTAAAAAACTAAATCTTTTACCTTGTTTTATTAATATGATTAAATAAAGAAATAGTCTCGATAAGTCCTAGATCTAAAAAGGATCCCCTTGAGTACAAGGGAGGTAAAGGGTGCCTAACACGTTCCCTTTATCTAATCAGCTCTCCAATCCAATGATCTCTAAGAAAATAGGATTTTTCCGTTACTCCCCGTCCATAAGACAAATAAGTAGTGGCAGCGACTCGTATTTTTTGTCGGTTACAACAATAGAGCATATGCATTAAGAGCATAATTGTTGTACTTGGTTGACACATCTATATTTGTGGGAAAGAGTTCCTATTATGTGCTTAAAGTTTACCTCAGACACATCGCTAACCTGAAACAGATTCATGAGTATAACTAGGGGCTGCTTGTTTGGCCTACTTGTACTCTAAGTTAGCTGAAGGTTGTATGTGAAAGATCAAATAGATTACAACTAGTTGCACGTTTACGGTAATATATTTGCATCTTTTACTATTTTTGTACAATTTTCATAATATTTGTCTTATTTCATTACTAATAATTCACATGTACCATTTTCAGCCATGGATCTTCTAAAACTTCCCACACATATCTAACTGGTCATATGTTCACACCTACACTAAGGATATTCCATGTGCTTGTGCATTCGGCCCACTTAGAGGGAATTAAACGACTGAGTCATTTAGAGTGTATCTTGACCGCACAATAGAAGATGATATACACTTCCAATCGTACGAAGATCACTATCAGATGCGTCCCTTGAAAGACATAATCTCCTACTCTAAATGGTTGGCTTATGGGTCACATCTTATGTATCCACATATGCATGAGCGTGTCATGCGCAAGTTTGGGTATATGTAGTTTATAACAAGAGACCCTTATGATTCTGATCCTCCCTTTATGCCTCCGCAGAGATGTAGATGTCATGTATGATGAATTTTTTAATCATCTGGTACTGACTAAAGCATGAGGTATCGTAGCTCCCTACAATTGGAGTTTTGCATTTGGATACGTCCAGTGGTATTTTAGAGTGTCTCATCCTTATGTGACAGCGAATATTTTGGGAGATCCACCTAGGTTAGCTCATCAAGAGATACTAGAGGAGGAGCAGACTAGGACAAATCATGATGTTGTTGTGTTGCCTACATGTTGTTGTATCATGGATCTTTTACGAGCGAGTACAGACAAAGGAGTCTTTTCGAAAGACTCTCTTGGAAGGGACATTGTAGATGTCGTTCTTACTAAGACACGAACAACACTGCAATATAGGAGGAAGCATAAGAACAATGAGTCTGACATACACAGTAGTATGGTATTTGTATTAGGGATACTATTACGTTTGTAGTTTATTTTGACTTTATTATGGATTCATGATTTATTCATTTATATATGGCACTTTCGTCTTATTTGATAAGTGTATGATTTAATTTATAAAAAAAAAATTTACTATGATAGTATAGTTATAATACATTGTATATTACAACGATGTATTTCTAAAAAAAATATCAAAAGTATTGTCTATGGTGAATATGGATATATACTTCCGTATTCTATCTAGAATTTAATGGAGATGCATCTCTAGATCAATTTATGTCAAAATAAAGATGTCTCAGTTAAGAATGTATGTGGTGCGTATAGGATGAATACAAAAGTGTATCTCTGAACTAATATCCGACAAAAATAGAGGTGTGGTTCATTTATGCATGTATTTAACGTAAAAATATGCATCTAAAAATATTTTTTCGAATTTACATGAGTATTTTAAGATGTTCTTAGTGTGCTACTCTACCATTTAAGGTGGGAAAAGCAATTCCCATCCATGTATGTCTTCTACTCCTCTCTAATGCATAACTCTGAATCAATTTAAACCAAGCTTAACTTATAGTAATTTTTTAAATTTATGTCTTTATTAACTCTCATAAAATTATACAGAATTAATATTTACAAGAAAAGGCACATTAATTAATTATGTATTATTAGAGGTGGAAAATCGGTTAGTTTGGATTGATATCGGAGCAAAAATTTAAATTCGACACAAATCATAATTTTATTCTAAAGGTTCAATTTTGATTGATAAAATTTCAATTTTCGACGAATTTAATTATATCAATTTGACAGATAAGTTTGGTAGTTTTAGTCGGTTTAATATTTATTGAGTTAAACTTATAAAATAATCAATTTTTTTTAATCAAATTCACACATTCATTTTTTAGATTTTTTAAAAAAAATTATCAAAATTTTAGAATAGTCCAAAAATACTATTTTATTTCATTATAATATTTCTAATATCATTTAATACTAATTTGTTCATTATTATACTTTAAATCATAAATTATATAACAGTTAATTTTATATTATATGTCTTATATTTTTATGAGTATAAATATCATCATTAGATTATAAAAATAATAATAATCTGAAAATTTTATGAATGTTATTTTTATAATGGTTCATCAATTTAGTAATAAAAATAAATAAAATAAATATTAGTTGAGTTCGCTCGAATTTAATCGACTTAATTCCTAAACAAGTAGGGTTTCTACAGTTCCATTATACTACCACCCATTCATTGACACGCCAGCATATATTTGACATGCTGTCCTTTTCCTACAAACAGCATAGTACCAGTACTATATGTATTCTTATTTGTAATTTCTGTACTTGCTCAACGCTCATTGGCCCACACACCATAACCTTAAACTCCTCGATCAGCACATTAATAAACAACATTGGACTTCTACATAAACCACTTTTCCACAAACCATCTTCTTCCACCCGTTTTAGTTTCAGCATCCTCTCTCCTAATTTAATAAAGATGGGGAGAGGAAAGATTCTGATTCGAAAGATTGAGAATTTGACCAACAGGCAAGTGACTTTCTCAAAACGAAGAAAAGGGTTGAAGAAGAAAGCTAAAGAACTTTCCATTCTTTGTGATGCACAAGTTGGATTGATTTTGTTCTCCTCTACTCATAAGCTTTATCACTATGCAAGCTCCAGGTACACCAGATCCAATCATCTCTTCTGTTTCAACTTCATTTTTGCTAGATCGTTTCACCTTGTTCGTTGACTATTTAATTTTCTCTCAATATATTGTTGTTTGTCTCCTCATCGTTTTGTGTCACTTCAATTGTAAGGAAGAATTTACTTTTATATAGAACTTGAGGAAATAGCCATTGGATAGAAGACATTTGCTTACACTGTTGGTGTTAATTTAGATTCATAAAAATAATATTTTCGTTTTATTAGTACTAACATCAGCATGTTTTGCAGCATGGAATCTATTATCGATCGGTATAATAAGTTAACTAAGGATCACCATCGGGCAATAGATACTACTTTGGACGTCAAGGTAATACACAAACCATGAGGGAAAGGTGAACTTTATCTTTGTTATGAATACTATATGAACCTCTATATTGTCTCAGCGATAAGCTATAATGTTTCGATTATGTTGTATTTGGTTTTAATAATTTGTAATGGGTTTGTGTATATCTCTTGTACCTAACTTTTTTATAATTATTTTGATTATATTTTTCTTTAAAAAAACCTTATAAATCACTCCTCCATACACTTATTATTTTGAGAATTTCTCTTAATATTTAGTAGTGGTGATTTTTATCACTGAAAATTCAAAAATACCTTTCAGATATTCACATTCGAACGCACCTCTCAACATGCTTCGGATGTGTATATCTGACGACACTCTTTTTTAACATATTTTAATACTTAAATGTTGGAGACAAAATTTTAGAGGTTGTTTCACATATGCACATCTGAAACCACATGTACAAATGTTTCAGATATGCATATCCAAAACTTTCTTTGTTTGTGTCATTTTTGTTTAAAAATACAACAGTACAAATACCTTATAAACGGACAAATTTTATATAATTTTTTCAAAAATATGAAACGAACATAACAATACAAACATAACCATTAGATTAGATGTTCAGACATAGCGAAACATGATTTAGTACATAAGTTGTTCGGAAAGTGCGCAATATCAAAATATTACATCGGAAGCAAAAAATAATACATAACATAGGCCACTACTACTGCGTATGCCTAATCTAACCCCCTGTGACCTCCCATGCCTCCTATACTGCGTTGCACTGAATGTCTCCCTAACCATCCTTTCAATGATGGCAACCGCCTCAGGACTGCCCATCTCGATAATCCCAACATCCAATGCCTCATGTCCAAGTAGGTGGATGCTCTGACAGATTGACAAAACACCAGTGGCATGATCATCCTCTGCCTATTGGTTCTCCAATAGCTCCTCATGAGCTGGCCTTGGTGGACGCCCAGGACTATCCGATGTCATGATAGAGTGTGACACGTTAAACAACCGTGTCATGTAACCCTCTACATAATGTCAACTCTGGGATGTCGACATCATCTGATACTCTCGTGGCACCAAATGATTCTCCCAACCTGGAAGATACCATAAAGATCCTGCTGGACTATGGTGTCGTGAACAGTCTGAAAAGGAGATCTCGGAATCTTCTACACACAGCCAAACTGCCGGATACACCGTTCCGGAAGATATCTGACCATAAGATTTGACCCACAAGCTAGCCACCCCGAGTATAATGAGATGGGATCGAATGGGACACATCCTTGTAATCCTTAAATGGCGTCCTTTTGATGTCATCGTGATTAGTATGATCAAGATACACCTGATAAGGCGACACTTTTTGATTCCCTCTGTGGAGTACATACTTTGCAGCCCTTGGCATGTCGTGAGTATAAACCGGATCTGCTTCGAAACCATGAATGCAGTGAAAGTGAGAGATTATCCAGCTCTGAAACAACAATTAGATAATATGTAAGTAAAAATTATAAAAATCAAATTAAGGTTAATAATTGAAATGAAAGGTACCCTGAGGAGTGTGCAAGTGCCAGCAAAGTATCTCGTCCTCTAGTTTGAAGCTTCATTCAGCTTCTGGTAGAGGTATATCAAGATGGCGGCCCCCCAATTCCACTCACGAACTGTACTCAAATTCATAAAATACTGGAGGTATGTCAATCTACATAGTAGGCACTTTTGTCCACAAAGAGGGTCGCGTTAACCAAAAATATGAAGTAACACCGTAAAGCACAATCTCGGTGGTACTGGACAAAAACCTCGTCACCATCATCCTCGGCCCCTGCAGCTGTAACCAGATGCTCCTCATATAGTTTCTTCAGGTAGGAGAACTTTGTATGTGACCCATTTGTGTTTCTGCAGTCCTCAGCTGCCCTATATGGATCAACTCCCAAATACTCAATCATCCAATCAACCGCCTCAGCTCGTGGTACCTTGTGATGGTTAAGTAACTTATCTCTGATATGTAGGTGGAGCAAGCAAGCAACGTCATCAAGTGTGATCGTCATCTCCCCAACAGGAAAGTGGAAAGACGACATCTCCTTGTGCCACCTCTCGACAAATGCACTCTGCATGTCGTGGCTTATAGTATTGTAACCAGTACAACATAGTCTGACAAGTTCGAATCCAACCACAACCTCATGGAACCAAGCATTCGCAGGTATAAACAATTCAAATATTTTCTGCGAGTGATTCACGGACTTAATTGGCAACTGTTCTTGAAACAAAAAAATAATAACCGTTAAAATTATAATTTTGAGTAAACCTTTAAAATGAAAAAGTCCAACCAAAAATATACCTCTTCATTCCAAACATGCCGAGCGACATGATCATTATAGTAGATCAGGAGGGAGGTGTCATAAGGCCCTCCTGGATATCCCTAGTTCGCCTCCTCGGGTACCTCAACATGATCGGGTACCTCATCCCCCTCGGGTACGTCAAAATGCTCGGGTACAACATCCCCCTCGGGTACCTACTCATGCGCATGAGAGGTAGACGCCTGAGATAGACAACTCCTCGGTGCAGAAGAAGAAGAAGCTCCAGGTAATTCCTCTCTTTGTACCCAACCCTGTCCTCGAGGCTTGTTAACTAGCTGCCCAGCTCTCTCTCTCTCTCGCCGAGCAGAGGCAGTCTAGCTTGGCCTGCCTTGTCTTAAACGATTGGACGTTTCCTGGTTGTCAGCCATCTTTCTGAAAAATTAATTATAATATCAAGATTTTCTATAAAAAAAAGAAACTCGGGTAAGAATTTGCATGTGTGCTTCCGAAACTGATCTAGGGAGATTTCGGATGTGCACATGCGAAACCACCTGCGAACAACCATTTTCAAGAAGCAGCTTCTTCTTGCCCTAAATCATCCAAATACTTTTTTTTATCATCCAAACACCAAAATTAAATTATTCTAACAGTAATCTACACAATGTCATTTCTACTAACTAACCTAATACACTATTATAACATTGCATGGTGAATCAAATGAAAATAGAGGAAACTTACACAAACTTTGAGCCTTGGAGATGAGTTGGAATAATTTGAAAAGAGTTGAAATGGGGAGATGAGTGAAAATGACTGAGTTGTTCAACTTTGGATAGTAGAAATATAGGGTTTGGAGTATAAATGTAAAGTTTTTATGTTTGAATAGAAATGAATATGTTCTGTTCGTGGTTTTGAAAACAACAGAGTGACTTCGGATGTGCATCTCCGAAATTATAAATTATGGGGTGAATTCGGAGATGCGCATATGAAGTCACCCTTTTTTTGACAAAATAAAAATCATTTCAGATATGCACATGCGAATGCACCTGTTATTGTCAATTACAGTGTGTTCGGATATACATATATGAAATCTGAGGGTATTTTGGGATTTTCACCAGAGGTCTAGAAGAAGTGCACAAAGTGTTAAAAGAAATTCTCTATTATTTTATCATATATTGAATTTAAGTATAAATGTTTAAGTTTCACATCTCATATGAATAGGTAGATTTTTTATTTTATTTTGAATTAAAGTATGCCTAAAATATAATAAAATGTATAGAAAATAGAAGACAAACGGACAAAAAGTTGCATCATTATACTTTTTTGGAGAACAAAACCAATCTTTTTTAAAATCTACACCCGTTGACCTAGAAGATACAATATTGTTACACATAAATCTTTGGAATCTCTGTAAAAGATCAATTGCTTCTGGTGCAAAAAAAAAGTCAAAGACAAATGAATTTATAAGAGAGGTGACTCATACAACTAATTCTTTTTTATAGAGATGCTCATATAACTAAGGTTTTTTTTTGTGGAGATGCTTTCTCTTTGTCTCTCCTACTCTCTCTTCCTATCTCTTTATCCCTCTCTCTCTTTCTCTCTCCCCATCTCCTTCTCTCTCTCTCTCTCTCCCTCCATACCCCTCTCTCTCTCACCTTAATTTTCTCTAATAGAGCCAAAAGATTGGCAAACCGATTCAAGAAAAAACAATGGTTCATTGACATATAAGAGCATGTCATATTAAATGAAAATTAATTTTGACAATTCACCAAATATGAAAAATTGAATCCCTCGCCATGACAAATTCATACCAAAATTTCATAGAAAACACACTTTAAAAGTAGCATGTATAATAATTGTATCGTTAAAAATCTTACTAGAAAAATCTAAAAAGGTAAAACCATCGTGAATATAAAAAGAGTGTATTGTAATACATTAAAAATGTAAGTACCAAAATCCTCTGAAGTATAACTTATCGTCATGTAAATCTGTGTCTGGAAAGATTAATGTGTCTGGTGAGAACAAATATTAACAGGCGTGGTATGTCTATTGATCCTGTTTGCCCTCTTTGTTTATCTGAACCTAAAACTGAGGACCACCTTTTCCTCAAGTGTCATGTGGTTAACCTGTTGTGGTTTGCCTCTCCTTTGGGTTTCCATATTCCTGATAACATTGATCTGTGTTGTTGGCTTCTGAACTGGTTCAATTGTAAAGATGATAAGGGCGTCATCTTGGTGTGTGCAACCTTATGCAGATATGGCAAAGTAGGAACTCTTTCCTATTTCAGAAAAAGGACTTTATCCCAGTGAAGGTGGCGAGAGATGCAGCGGCCGTGGTTGAGGAATACTCAAAGGCGTTTAAAAGCCCCATTAATTTTGACTATTTTGGTGTTGTTCAGTATTCAGGAGTTTCCAATGGCGTGGATTTTGTGGCTTTGGTGTACACTGTTTGTTTCCCTGATGGCTTCACAATCTGGAGGTGTGCTATTAAGGCTAAGGATAAGAGTAACTGTTTTAGTTCCTACAAACGACAATAGATCACGATGTAGCCTCTGGTGGCTGGGGCTTTGGGGGTTAGATGGTGCCTGGAGCCGGTGGCCCTTTTCAAGTGGGAGAATGTCATCATCCAAATTGATGCTCTTTTTGTGGCAGATTGTATTCAAGGCCATGTTGTTATTGCTCAGATTGTTTTTGTTATTGGGGACTGCATTAACCTCTTGTCCTTTTTGAATTATGTTTCTATTAAGTTTATTAGTCGCAATTTAAATCTTGAAGCCCATAACTTAGTTGGGATTGCAAAAGTGCTTGGGTCTAGAACTTGGCATGGTGAGCAGGCTGTTGTATCTTCTTCCACTTAAATGAAATTTTATTCCCATGAAAAAAATATGTGTCTAAAAAGATTAATTTGTCATCAAAAAGTCTATAGTAGTAAATTGAGGCCTCAAATACCATAAATTAAAAGATATGGAAGAACATTGAAACAACAATGAAACTTAATTATGTTCATGATATGGTTATCGGTGAAGTAAAGAGATATGATGAAGATAAATTAGTTAATATTCACACTTTCAAGATGAAATGTTCATTGTAAATAAAAGGATATAAGGTCCGAATATATAAGTATTCATAGTTCCCATAAATTAAAAACTGTTGAGAAAAACACGTGTGAGTTGAAAGTATTGAGAAACAAGTGTGAGAAAGTCCCGTGTTGATTAGAAAATTAGAATTTGAGTACTTTGTAAGTGAGAGAATTACACACATACCACCTTAAGGTTTTGTGTGAATATATGGTGTGTCTCTCACAAGGTGTTTTGCTCATAAATAAAGACTCCAATGAAGAATGCTCCATTTTGTTGAACCCTCACAAAACTGATGACCTAACAGTGATCTCATGAGCCATTAGTTTGAGTGAAGGATCGACATACTTGTAACGAAAGTCCTTCCAATAAGGTGGTGGGTATGAGGCATATGAAAGAGTATTGTGGATAGACTCGCACTTGAAGGAGAGTATTAAGAAAAACAAGTGTTAGTTAAAACTGTTGAAAAACAAGTGTGGGGAAGTCCCACGTTGATTAGAAAAGAGGAGATTAAATATTTTATAATTGTGAGAACCCAAACACCTATCATCTTAAAGATTTGGGTGAATATGTGATGATTATCTCAAAATGTGTGTTGCTCATAAATAAATAAAAACCCAATAAAAATGCTTCTTCGTGTTGAACCCCCAAATAATTGATAAGCTAACAAAAACTATATATCAAGTGTTGGAATTTTAGAAATATTGGTCTCTTCAAAAGTAAATTCAAGAGTCTATCAATGAATAAAGAGGCTAAGGATGAGAGAACGAAACCACTACCCTAAATTTAATTTGTTGTTTTTCTTCAAGGAACAACTATTTCAAAAAGAGAGAAACTAGACGGTTGAACATCATATTAACTTCTTATGTTAATTTACTTTTAAACAACAATAAACCATACATATCATCATAAAAAAAATGGTCCAATTCACTTCAATCTTATTGACATAAAATTGGAATTTCAAACAATTCATTTAACAATTATTCATCAAGTTCAATCCTTTTTTCACACAATATCACGAAAAACATTTATTTCAAGTGCTTAGCAAAGGTTATGAATTTAAAACTCAAATTCTAAAATATGAATTATCTTGAAGAAATAGGGCTAGTGTAAGGGTAATATTTAAGATAGTATATTTCACTACTTGAAGTTAGTCACAACTGACCTATTTTTCACACTTAGTGGAAATTCCCAATACAATTGACATAAAAAACCTAGAAAATTTGTGGTTATATGTCATCATACCAAAATTAAATCTTTTTTTTTCTTGGTACTCTTTTTATATTTTTTCCTTTCTTTCAATAACAACAAAATCTCAACCATTTTTCTAGTGGTTTCTGAAATTTTATTCGGTCAGAAACAAGATAAAACATATAAAATTGTATTCATTTGGGAGACAAGATGATCTAAATTAAATGATGGATAAATTAAAAAATAATAAATAAAAACATAAAGAATTAGTAATCAAGTACGTTGCAATGCAACCTACATTTGAAAGGTTGTAGCCAAAAAGAAAGGAAATTCACTATTTCAAATAGTCACTAGTACACGGCATTCTCATATGAACTCTCTCATATCAGTGTCTTTTCCTAATATTACTCGTGAATATCAACTCAAACTCCCCCAGAATCTGAAGTCCCCTTACTTTCATTTAAGCAATACCCCAAGAAACTTAATAAACAAAATACAAGTACTCAAAGAAACTAATTATGACACACACAAAATCTTCCTTCAAAAGTTGAGTCTTCAATAAAGGAGAACCACCTCTTTAAATAAGAAATAAGTATGATCCAGCCAAAAAGATCAATAGGGTTTAACCAAAATTTAACTAAATCTAAAATTCAGCAAATTTAATCTTTTAATTAAACTAAACCCAAATATAATAATTAAATCAAATCCAATTAAATCTTCTTTATGAAAATTTTAATTTGATAAAATCTTTTCCAAACTAATTTAGATTAACTAATCTTTTTCCAAAATAAATCTTTGCAAATGCTAAAAACACTTTCGATTGAATAAAAATCAAATCTTCTAATAAATGTTGAAGCAATCATAGAATTGTATATGCAATGTGTGACAAATAAAGCTATAGACATGATGTCTCACCATAAGTCAAGACATCTTGCTAAACAAATTACCTACAAAAATATGTTAACCAATTGTAATAAAAAGTACCACTTTGGTTATTTTAGGCAAAGTAACAATGCAAAGATTGAAGCACATATTCTAGATCAGAGCACACAACACAAAAGATTTAATCTAACAAACAACAAAATTCATCCAAGCAACAAAAACATCCAACATACACCAGAAAAAAATAGAAATATTCCATTTCTTCCCCTATTTCCCTCAAAATATCCAAATGATAAGAGAATCTAGAGACAAAAGAACAAACAAACAAACCCAACCATAACAAATCGATCCTAAAAAAATTAACAACAAACCAACAAAACATCAAGGACAATAAAAAATATGAAGTAGTAGAGTCCATATAGGCAATTACATCCCCATTATCATCACTATCTTCCTCTCCAAAACTAGACAAATCTCCAGTGTGATCCACATGTGCAGTATCACTCAAAATCAAGAATAGCAGGTTGAGTCGAGGAAGCTCTAACACACCAAGGAATCAACATCTTGATGATTCATTTATAAACACTTTTCTTTGTAGTGAACGTATCAATAATCTCTTGCACCATTTTTGCTTCATGAATTAATGCCTTGAGAATATGACTTCTCACAAATCTAGAGAAATGAGCCACTTCCAACATATCTTCATCAATTCCCAAATCGGTTTCATCAATATCAGCAATAGTATGAATGACAAAGCCATCAACATGTTTCCTAACAAACAACTTGTAATTAAACTTTAACACACAAGGGGTAGCACCAACAAACTAGTGTCATCTAACACATACCTTCATGTATTCACAACTTTCAGCATTATTAAATCCACTAGGTAGTTTGACAACAAGCTCTTTCACTAACTTAATATAATAAGGACTAATATTTATCACAATCTTCAACAATTCAGAACCCCTAAGGAGCTTCATAATTTCATTGCACCTTTGTGGATAGAATAAATTTACCTCTCAGGGGTCAAACTTCTATGAAAAATAATCTCCCACTTGACTACACTCTCTTCACAATAAAAAGAGACATTGTCAACGGGAGCTGAAGGAATGTTCTTGGGAAGCTTGTTCTCTCTGATAGATAGTTTAGCTTGCGTACCAGTCTGATCAACCCACTTTTCTTCATCTTCAATGTCAACCATTATGTCATTCTCATGATCTTCAACGTCATTCTCCCCAATTCTAGAAACATTCTTATTTCTCTTCATAACTTTGTTCTACAAAGACTTCTTCTTAGTACTTTTTTTCTTCTTCTTCTCAATAATTTTCTTCTTTTTATCATTACTCATCATCATCTTCTTCTTCTTCTTTTCAAACCACAACATTTTTCTTATTAACAGTAGTATTTCTTTTTCTTAGCATTCTTTTTCTTCTTCTCAATTACAAAATTCTTCTTAGCAGCAAAGGTCCTATTCCTCTTCTTTTTTGGGTCAGCCATAGTAGCCAAAAGAACTTCATCTTTTGTTACTTCTTGGCTTTCCTGAAGGATTTTATCGCAGTAAGGGCTTCATGAGCAATGTCATTCACATTATCATTAGTATTAGTATTCACATATTTACTAACAATCTCATCAACATCCTCAATGACATTTTCATTGTCATTGTCATCTTTACTGGCATTGTTTAGGTCATCTACACTGACTTCTTGACTTGCCTCTTCATTTCCATTTAAATCTTTTCCTACATCTTGACTAGCTTATTCAATGTTTTTTCCATCATTACTAACATCTTCACTGGCTTCTTCATTGTTGTTAACATCATTTCAAATATCTTCACTGGCTTCTTGACTAACTTTAACATTTACATCTTCCCTGTGATCTTTATCTTCATTGTGATCTCTATCTTTATTGACATCAGCATGACATCTTTACTAATAGTTTTATTTACATTTTCACAAACTTCTTTAGGATCAATATCAATGGGGGTATCATGCACGGGATCACTAAGGCTATTTTTTTGTGGCGGGAATCATAACATTCAGGTGATTACCAATTTCATTGTCATTTGGAGGAATATCACAGTCATTAAAAGTCTCAATAGTTTGATCCAAATTGTTAGACTAATCTAGCACATCATCTTTAACTTCTCTTTCCTTAATTACAGTCTAATTCTCAGCACTAGTAATAATAATATCACTAGAGATAACATATTCATAGGGCTTACCTTGAACAATATTAGAAGGAATACTATTGAGAGGAATAATGTTAATAGGGACTACATAAGGGGAGCACTCAGTGATGACACTCATTGAAGGAGGACTGAGATTCTTTTGAGATTCCTTAGTAAGATAGTGACAGAAAATAAAATATAAGGGTTAGAGAGATGACACAAGTAATTTATCCAACTTTGACTGAATGTTGGTCTACTCCTACACTCAAGAGATCTTCTTGAGACTTGTCTATAATATTGAGCTTTTTTAGGTGATGACCACCAACTTTTGATACAAGTGAATCAAGATATCTTACAATGGTTTATCCCCAACCAAAAGAAAGTTTTTCCACAGGCTAAGTTAACAAGTCGAATGTATATTTTACAATTTTATCTCAATAACCAAACATAACTTTTCTAGGTTAAGTTCTAAAACAAAACAAATATTTTAAGACTGGTTAATCTCAAGAACCAAACTCAATTCTTTAAGAGTATTTCACTCTTAAAAGTATCAATAATGGCACGAAATCGATATAACTCTTTCCTTACAAATAATTTTCACTCACAAGGCACTAAGACAACTTTGTGAAAAATAAAATATCTAGAGAGGGAGAGAGAGAAAAAGAGAGATAAATTGCAAAGAATCAGAGAAATCTCAAATTCTAGTGTGAAATGAAGAAGAGATATGCCTCCTCTATATAGGAAAAGAATCAGCTCAAAAAGGAAATGGTCAATGGGCCAATTAACTCGTCTAATCAATTAGGTCCTAAGTCTAATTGATTAGGTACTACAAACAATTGATTATTTACTCCCATTTTGGAAAGTTTGGATACAACATCATTACCAATCATTAAAACAATGTCAAAATCAATTATATAATCAAGTTTGCTTCATCTAATAAATTGGGTAGTTAATGACTTCATTGGAACTTTGAGTCTCTTACTTGATAGGCTTGAGATGTCTTCAAGTTAATCTCCATCATGAAAGAGTTAGAAAGATATTACCACTGACTTCATCAATTATTAGTCTTATCATCTTCACAACACTTAGGAAGGTTATTAGCAAGATCATCAACTTCATACATGCAAGCACATAGATCCACATTCTCCCTTTTTTTGATAGTGAAAACACATATCTTAGGGAGGTGGTAAAATAAAATACAGGTAGATAAATTTGGAGTGGTTAAACTCCCCGTCACATGTGTATAGAGTATACTCTACTCCCCTAGAGAGTATACTTAGCCCCCTTTGTCATAAGCCAACAGGTAGGAAACAAATATAACACATAAATTAGGAAGCATCGTATAGAGAAGTGGGGGAAGAGGAAGGAGAAGAGGCACTTAAGCATAACAATCATTGCATGTTTTTTTAGGATTCCTAGTTCAGTTCTTATGAAAAAGAAGCTTTCTTTAGGAAGAGTTTTTGTAAAAATATATGCAATTTAATTACATGAGGCCATATACTCAAGTATGCAATCCTCTTTTTCAACATGATCCCTAATAAAGTGGTCCTAACTTCAATGTGTTTAGTTCGAGAATGAAAAATCAGGTTTTTAGTGAGGTTTATGGCACTAGTGTTATTGCATATTATTGAGATAACTCCAAGATTAATACCATAATAACTGAGTTGATGTTTCATCTAGATAATCTGAGAGCAACAGCAACCTGCATGAATGTTAATGCCTTAGCTGTGGATAGCACGAAACTTTCTTATTTCTTGCTATGCCAAGAGATAAAAAAGTTCCCAAGTAAGTGACATGTATCCTGATACTTTTCCTATCCAATCTGCACGAAGCAAAATCAGAATCAGTGTACCCAACTAACTCATAATCCGCTCCATTGGGGTACCATAGAACCATTTGAATCCTGCGACTCAGATATCTCATGATAAGTTTGATCGCACTAAGATGTGATTCTTTCAAGGATGCTTGAAAGCAAGGAAAAAACATATAACAAACATGATATCAGGACGAGACATAGTGAGATAGGAGAAGAGAGCCAATCAGGCCTCGATACTTGCTTTCTTCATCTGGTTTCCCATTTTCTTCCTCGCCAAGGTTGCATGATGTTCACATTGGGGTTGTTATTACTATATACTTCTCCATGTCAAACCTCTTTAGTATTTCTTTGCAGTATTTAGCTTGATTGGTGAAAGTTTCTTTCTTAGTTTGATGGATTTAAAGTCCTAGGAAGTATCGAAGCTCCCCCATCATTGACATTTCAAATTTGTTCTGAATCATTTCATAAAATTCTTTGCACAAGGACTCGTTAATAGCATATAATATGATATCATCGACATATTTCTGAACTAACAAAATGCCTGGTTTGATTTTCTTGATAAAAAGAGTATTGACTTGTCCTCTTCAGAACTTATTTTCAAACAATAGTTTTCTTAGACGTTTGTACCATACTCTAGGAGCTTGTTTAGACTACACAAGGATTTATTGAGCTTGAAGACATGACCAGGAAAGGTTGAATTGATAAAGAATTGAGGTTGATCAATGTATACCTCATCTTGTATGTAATCATTCAGAAAAGCACTTTTTAAATTCATTTGAAATAATTTGAAATTCATGATGCATGAAAAAGCTAATTACATTCTTATGACTTCTAATCTAGCCACATGACCATATGTTTCATTGAAATCTATTCCTTCATGTTGATTGTATCCCTTCATATTGAGTATGAGTATTTCTATTTTCGTCCAGCTTGTTGCGAAAGTCCCATTAGGTTCCAATCATTATATTAGCTAAAGCTTTGGGAACGAGTTCCTAAATATTGTTTTGTTCAAATTGATTTAACTCTTCTTGCATGGCAAGATATCAATGTTCATCAATGATAGCTTCGTCGATTCCTTTTGGCACAACTTGTGAAACAAAGACCACAAAGTTACATACCTTATTGAGGGATTGTCGAGTGGTGAATCTCTTAGAGATATCTCCAATGACATTTTGAATTGAATGGTCTTTTTTCATCCTCCATTCTTTTGGAAGATCTTAATGATTTAAAGGAGTATCTATGTTTTGATTATGAACATGTTCTTTATCTATGAATTGATTTTGACTTTGACCTTGATTTGTTTCTTGATTATGTTCCTCTTGTTTTGTCTTTTCCAAAATACCATCACAACCAATCACTTCTAGTTATAATAGTTTTGGGTTAGACTCATCAAAGGTAACATGAACTGATTCTTCTCTCGTAAGTGTACTTTTGTTAAATACTCTATAAGTTGTACTTTAAGTGGAATATTCTATGAACATGCCTTCACTAACTTTTACGTCAAATTTTCTGAGGTTATATTTCTCATTGTTAAGGATAAATTATTTGCATCTAAAAACATGTAAGTGAGATATATTCGACTTTCTTCCTTTATATAGTTCATAGACCTCCCGCTTTAGAATTGGTCTTATTGAGACACGATTCATGATATAGTAAGCAATGTGTGATCGGTGGATCTGGAACTGACTGTTTAACGCTGGTTCGCGAAATGTCGCGGAAGCAAGAGTCGCCACCGTCTTTTATTTTCTCCAAATGGAAAGGACAAAAGCACAGAAAAATTCCTTTTTAAGAGATTGCTCTCGGTTCGGGAGGTAGGTTATAGAAAGGGAAGGTGCTAGCACCCTTTCTATCCGTAGTTATCTACGGGCTCTTAGATACTTGCTCAATGTGTTTTCAAATTGTTTGTTTGCTTTTCAATGTGGGTTTAAAAGTTTCTTTGAAAAAAATTTCAGATCGACTCATACGTCAGAGTGTTTGAAAAGTTTGTTTTGAAAGCTTTTGAACATGTGTTGGTGAAAAGATTTTTGAGTTTGTTTTTGAATTTAGAGCAAGTATCCTTGAGAACCTACCTACCCTAAGGAATTCGTCTGTGTAAGAGTCCTTTAAAGTAGTGCCATCCCACCATTGAGAGGTAGGTAGCACCACCGTTGGAGGTGTTCGGGTCAATTCGAGTTTTAGGGACATGGTGATCACCAGAGCAATGGGAAGACACCTTAGAAGCTACCCTCATGCCAGGTTCCCGGATCATGAGGACTTACTAAGACGTCCTCTACTCGACGACCAC